ACCTCGGGAAACGTGCCAATCTAGGTTTAGGTTAACCTTGGGCTTATTGGGCTTCCCTCAGAAGTTGGGCCTAGGTGACCGGTTATCCCAGGTGTCATGGGAAGGACACGTGTCGTGTCGTAATTGGTCCAAGGTGGACGGATCATTGCTTGACACGTGGCAGGCTCCTATTGGCCCATGTGACGGACACATGGCGGAACCTGATTGGTCCACTTGTCAGATGGTGATTGGTGGGAGCAAAATCCCCTAATCATCTTCCATAGACATTTTAAAACTAATGCATGTTCATTTATATATTAATAGATGTTTATTTTCATATTCAATTATGTAAATATGTCCATTTATGTATTAATAGTTGTTCATTTCCATATTAATAGATGATCATTTCTACACTAATATATGCTCACTTAATATTAATATATGTTATACTGTTATTCATATGAAAATTGGTTCAATTCATTCAACACTTCTTCTTGATCAAATCTAACTAATAATTCATTTGTTTTTGTATATTAGTTAAACAAAGAATTGTGGATATAGTGAGTTGCACCACACAATAGCAAGGAAAAAAAAGGGAAGACAAAATAAAGAAATCAAGAAGGCATGAATTCGCGCAACACGAACCAATAACACGAGCTTGAATTTTTCAATTTTGGATCGAGAATTCATTGTGTATAATAATATGTGTGGAATTGATGTGATGTATATTTTAATATCCAATATTTTAATTTTTGGTGGTATACAATTTCTATTTGAATTTAATAAGAAGGAAATAAACTTTTTTTTTTCAAAAATATATATTATTACAGATTCACATCCTTATATATAATGTTCATATTAGGAAAAAAAAATATGTTCATAAACAAAAAACTAAATATTCATAACAACTTTAATTTGTGGTTGAACATTTACAATTTTCGACTTTGAACAATCATTCACTAACTATAACTATATATATATATATATTAGAATATTTGACACTATATGTTCATAAAACACCTGAATGATCAATAGAAAACTGTACAAAATTAAAGCTAAACACTCCATTCTTGAATCAAGTCTCTCTTAGGACCTAATATTTCTAAGCTACACTTTTTATCTTTATAACCCCCATTAGAACAAATAAATCCTTTCATAGAAAATGAGTCACCCCTTCGTCTCTTACTCCTCCAAACTCTAATTCCAAAACCTTTCATAAAAGCATACTCGTTAAACATTTCATAAGCATCATCTTCGGAAGGAAATTATTTCCCCCAAAAATCAAACTGATTTGCTTCTTCAAAAATAATATCCTCTTTTTCCCATTGCAATAAATAAACATGTAGCAAATGAACATATATAGTAGCGGTAATGGTCAATTACAATAATGCATTTGATCACTTACAATTAAATTACTATACGTAAAAATATAAATGATCATCTATATAGCTACATAACTCAACATCATTTATATATGAAACTACAAATATTGATATATAATCATTAAAAGTCACATGTACAAATTATAATTCCATAAACACAAGTATATATATATAAATGAACATTTATGATTGCATAATTGAACATTATTACAACAAAACAAAATAACAAATGTTAAGATTTTTTTTAGGGAACAAATATATTAAAATACGTTCATCACTAGTTAAAATAGATACGAGTATCTTTAAAAGAATGAAAATTATTGAAATTCACATGGACAACATATATATATATATTTAAATACAACTAAAGTAAATATATAGTTTACTAAAAAAAATACATTAAACATAAATGAACATTTACTATTGCACAAGTGATCATTTTTTTAACTAAGATTATTTTTATATGACACAACAAGCTAATAAAAATAATTGGTTAGTAATATTATTACAATAACTATAGTTGTTCATATAAGACACACTAAACTAGAAAGACAACAATCAAAATTACAAAATAAAAACAATAACACAAATAAGAATCAAATTAGAAGAATAATACAACCAAAACTATATATGAATCAACTAATAACAACAATAACAATACTAAAACTAGAGCATTATCAAAATTAAAATCAATACAACAAAAACTATGAAATCAAAGCATTATAATCAAAATTTCTCACATTGATTGAATGACAAATTATTCACATTGATTGTTAAATGAGTCGAGCACACCAAGGAGGAAAATAGAGTCACAATCATAATCAAATGCAATTGAGATAAAAAATCTCCATGGAAGAAGAGAAAAATTTGAAAAAAAAAATTAAAAAATGTAGGAGAGAGAAAGTGAAATCAGTTATAAGAGGAGAGAGAAATTAAAATTGGTAAAATGATGAGTGAGAAAAGGAAAGAATATTGCACTTAAAAAACATTATATACTTGCTTGAATGGAAAATAAAGAAGAAAACAAAAAAAAAAAAAAGAAAAAAAACACTGGTGGGGGAAGGGGGATAAAACGACGTAGTTAGTTAGGGGGTGTAGGGGAAGCAGCCTAGACTAGAGTCTAGGGAAAAATTTGTATGTCTTTTTCACTTCTATGATGGAAAACAAATTGGCCTTTGAAAGCCCGTCTTAGTAGGTGAATAAAACACACCATTATATTATGTCGTTTGTACCTAAAATGAACCATTGAAATGATGCTTCCAAAGTCACAAACTACAAGTTGTCCTAGATTGTATTTGTCATTGCATATAGTAAATATGTACCTAATTAATTAGAGTAATCTATATCTATATCTATACTTAGTATTTAAAAAGACAAACCACAATCACCTATATGACACATGTCATCATAATTCACCCATATTCCACATAACACATCAATTAATATTTCCTCTTTATATTCCCTTTCAAAGTAAAAGATAAAATAAAATCTTATTGAATGCTAAAGTCTTTATGCACTCCTAACTTGCAAATTTGAGTAAAAAAATGGAGTGTTCCATTTTCACTATAAAAAAAGTTGTATTCCTCTCTATACCCTTTTAATGTAAAAGTTAAAATAACAAATTATTTAATGTTAAAATCTTTATATATTCCTAACTTGTCAATTATAAGTAAGAAAATTAAGCAAATTATTACAAAAAATCACCGACACATACAACACAAATAAACAACACATTTCAAGAAAAATAAAATGAGCTACAACCCGTTCGTTGAACGGGCCAAAAGGCTAGTTACCATTAGAAGAGCTAAGCTATTATATTTTCCTCCTACGTAAGTTAAAAACCCTTTTATATTACTCATCAACTCACAGAAAACTTGAACATCAAAGAGCCCAAAGAAAAGCTCCCATTGCAAAAATCCTCTTCTGTTTAGCATTGCCAATAACGGGAAGGCCGTATTGCTTGAGCAAGCAATCAAGCTGCCATTCCGGTATAGCTTGGTAGTCGGTTTTTGAGTACCTAGGGTAATGAACGGGCATTCGAAAATTATCCGTATGTGGCGTATCCATTGATGATTTCATGCACATACACACACCCTCTTCTGAACAATTTTATTTGTAAAGAGATGTTTGTATATATTCTGATTTTTGTGCTAATTGATAAAACCATGAGGCCTTTATAATTTTGTTAGTTTTAGTAGGTAAAACTCAAACGTAAAGCTAGCAATGTATGTATGTATGAATAAATTTTTTTTTGTGACACCAATTTCTTAACAACCTATTTTATAAGTCACAAGTCACATGTGAACCTTCTAAGAAAACGAAAGTAATTGCATTTTACAAAACAATGTTATATAGCACCAAAAAAAAAAAAAAAAAAAAAAAAAACAATGTTATATACTCATATTTAAAGATTATACAAGTATATGCAAATATATTCTAGTCTTCCATGTATACAATACTGATTTGTTCCAATGCACATAGGTTATCACACATTCACATTATTGGTTATACCTTCCTTGTTTCACGCACATTTTTTTAATTGCTTATTTTATCTATTTTATTTTAAAAAATAAAATAATCAATGGGGTAATCTTTCTAATATAATCTCTAAGAGATTCAAAGTTCATCAATGGTGGATTAGATTAAAAAAAAAATAATAATAAAATAAAAACATATAACTGATTATCTTGAATTACAATTTCTTTGAATAAACAATTAATTCGATTTAAATTGGCTTGATTTAAAAATGATTTTAAAACGTGGACATAAATTAATTGTGATAGTCAAAATTTGTTTTTACTAATTTTGCATATATTTTAATTTAGTAATTTAGAGGATTTTTTGGCAAGAGATTAAGTTGATAAATTCAGAATTGGAGGTTAAAGATTAAGATTGGATATGAAAATTGATCAATTATACAGGGGATTTTAATGTATTATAAAGACAACATTAATAAGGTTAGGGAACACTAATCAATTGAAGATGAAACAAATTTTTATGTAATGTATGTGTTAGTTGATTTTATAATTTACTTTTTGTTGCTAGTTAAATCTTAATAATATAATTTACTTGATTTCACTTTTAATCTCTTAATAAATCAGTTAAACATCCTCTTAATGATTTTTTTAAATTAAGATCGGAGTGGATGGTTTAGATTAATCGACAATACATCGATCTATGATGAAGATCTTATTCATTAATACTTACGTAGTCGACCATGCATAGTTCAAACATATATAATTGACAATGACGGACAATCCGCTAGAATTTCTAAGGATGTACAACATGTGATCAAGTAAAGAGATGAAATTGTAACTTAAGAAATTTTTGTTCCTTTTAAATTTTTATATTTGTATGGATTGATGATGTGGTGTTACACGACTCGTTGATTTCATTAATAAGCGGACCGGTGAGGTGGAGCCTCGTGGACGGAGCTATATGATCCATTGTTTACAATAGTTAGTTTACAATAGTTGGATTGATGAGGTGGACCTAAAATTATGGAGGCTAAACTATAAATAGTCCTTAATGCACCAAACCCTACTAGACTACTAGTCACAATTCTCACAAATTAATCATTTTGCATAAAAAGCAAAGCGAAGCAAATTATCATTACATTAATCATATTAGTCTTTATAGATGGCTCGTATCAAGATGAACGCACGTGTATACGCTCCTGCCCTTCCAAAGTCCGTTCCTAGGACCAGACCACGTTGTACCGCGCTCACAAGAACAACAGGCCCTTGCCCTTTTGCTCTCGCCTCTCGAATGTCCGTACAAAGAACTAGAACCCCGAGACAGGTTAAGAAGGCTCATAGATACAAACCAGGCACAGTTGCTCTTCGTGAGATTCGAAAGTACCAAAAGACAACCGATTTATTGATCAAGAAACTACCATTCCAAAGGTTGGTTCGCGAAATTGCTCAGGATTTGAAGACTGATGTGTGCTTCCAAAGTCATGCTGTTTTTGCCCTTCAAGAAGCATCTGAGGCTTACTTAGCAGGCTTGTTTAAGACACTAATCTTTGTGCTATTCACGCGAAGCGCGTTACTATCATGCCTAAAGACATTCAGCTTGCATTGAGGATCAGATCTCGCAATGCTTAAAGCAACTAGCTGCCTATACTATTCCATTTTCATGATTTTATTAGTTTGCAAAATAAACCCTAGAATTATATTGAATCAATAAAGTAGGTCTATTATATATATGTTCAGCTTGCATTGAGGACTAGGTCTTACAGTATTGCTTAAAATCATACAAAAGAATTGAGGGTTTTTTTAGGGTTGGATTCGGTAATGTTTAATTTCTAAGTTAGTTTGTGTTTATAAGTATATATTTGACTAATTTGAGTAATTAAGAACAAGTTTTGGGATTTACATTAACTTAATAACTTCGCAATGTAACAAATTAAATGGTTCGTTGCTTAGGGGTTAGGGTTGATGTTAGGTCTTAGCTTATAACAATGTTTTATAATTTTTTTTTTTTTTTTTTTTTACATTTGCTATTTTATTTCTTCGTATGAGTTATTGAGGTTAAATTTGGGTGAAAATAAATTTGAAAATCATATGAGATATCATTACACCAATCACAAATGTAATGCCTTGTATGTGCGTTAGAACTATCTTGATACTCCAATTAAGGACATGTTCACATTTACTGAGCTAAACTTATTGGAGTTGAACTGAAATGAATATTTTATGAGAGAGGGAAATTAGGAGCTGAACTAAACTGATTAGAGCTGGACTGAACTGAACTGATTATAGTTGAACGTATGTTGCAACAAGGGATCTGAGCTAAATAAACAACTATCTAATTGATTAATTCTTTCTATTTTTCATTCCTCACCAAAAATTAATAAGCATAATTTTGAATCGGTTTTCAAATTACCAAAAATATGTAGCTAGTCAGTCAACAAGGGCGCGAAGCCACGAACCCAAACCAAGAAATGTCTAGAACAAGAATGAAGTTGTTTCTTCACTGTTTTCAATTTGATCTTTCCGGTTTCTGTGAAGAGAAAATTATACAGTGATATGAGTATAAACTATAAAACATCCTTTAATAAGTTTTTCGTCTATGAATAACTTGCATATTGGTAATAATGAAGTTCTCTAGTAAAAAGTTACAAACTGTACAATCTTGTAAGTACTTTAATTTTTGTACCTTAGGATTGATTTGTTTATACTAGAATAAGAAGATGATATAAAAAGGGTGGAATTTAATTACAAGGTTTTTTTTTTCCTTAAATTCAACTAGAAAGATAAGCTATTTCGAATTTTCAATGTATTTGGTGCCCTCAAGAACACCTAATTCTTTGTGTACCTCATTTCTTAAAAGAAAAAATATATATATAATAACGAACATGACATATTATTTTTTTCTTTTTAAAAAAGAATGACATGACGTAGTTTTGAAATAACATGTCTATATTTATTGATAAATGGTTTCAAAAAAAAATTTATTGATAAATACAGTAATATATTTGAAAATAACAGAATCGTTAAACAAAAAAAAAAAAAAAAGTTGAAAATAACATGATGTATGATGAACAATAATATGAGGATCATGGAATGGAGAGACGATTTGACCTTCTGTGATACTCTGTAGGAGGGACACCTCCCGTAACTTACCGTGTAAAAGAAAATGATGAATAACAAATAACCTAATATCTCTTCATATCTATCTTAAAAATAAATGAACTTTTCACAACTACATACTGTCTCTTAATATTCATCCTAGTCATTTAAATTAACTCATTACTAAGTAGTAAGTACTACTTGTAGTTGTATTATTTATGACTTGTCACTCTCTTAGACTTCTTCGTTATAAACACAATTACACACATAACGTATAACACTTAGCCTCCTTCCCTCTCTCTATTATAAATACACGCATAACACACGACCAAATTATCATTCTTCCACTCATTTTTGCACTTGTCCTACATAACATAGCCTCTATATTATCATTCATATATCATAGCAATGGCCAAATTCAATCTTCTCCTAATACTCTTCCTAGCATGCTCTACATACATGTCCATATCCTCATCAAGGCCACTCCCACAATCAAACAACACGAGCTCGAATGTGCATTCGATGTTGCAAAGGTTGAAGCTTGACCATGAAACACCGGGTTCATCATCTTCTGTCAATTGCTGGGCCTCGATGTTTGAGCTTCAGTATTGCACTGGAGAGGTGATCCAGTTCTTTTATGAAGGTGAGACGTACCTAGGCCCGAATTGTTGTCGTGCCATTCGAGTTATTGAGCATCATTGCTGGCCTAACATGTTGGCTACTCTTGGGTTCACTACTGAGGAAGGGGATATTCTACAAGGTTATTGTGATTCTGAGGGAGATCAGCAAAATGGGAACTGAAATTAAGGTCTTAACTCTCTTAAGAAATGAAGGTTGTTTTTGTTTTAGCTGTTAAATAAGTGGTTTAGTTTCCACTAGAAATATCAATGGTTTTGTTTATGGTTTATATATTGATGTGTGTTTTTTTGTTGAGATTAATATAATGCATTTATCAAACTAAATTATGTTGGAATTAAAAAAAAAAAAAAAACATCGGACTCTTTTTTATTCCTAGACTATTATTATTTCACATTTATCAAAACCATGGGATACTTGGTTTGGTGATCCTAGACCATCAATAATTGTTTATTGATTGAGTATAAAAACATATTTCTGGGCCTCAACCATGATAGTTGAGACCCAAGAATATATTTTATTTTTATCACTCCCCCTCACATCAATAAAATGTGGCAAAGATGAGTGAATTAGATCTAAGATGGACTTGTTAAACAGAGTTCAAATAACAGTATGACATGCTGTTCATCGGAAAAATGCTATCTACTTAACCTATTCGTCAAACAGCATCAACCTATCAACTAACAAACAGTTCAGTTCAGTAGCTCTGATCGAGAGGTGTATTCATTCCACAGAGAACAGACCATCAAACTTCAACGCTTAAAGCCGTAAGCTGTGTATTCGCCAATCACAACTCATTGTTGACACAAACACAATATTCCAACAACGGACGAATATATACCATAGGCAAGTGCAGAGCCATTTCATAGTAATAGATGTTAACTTACAAGAGATATTAGTTAACCTAATATACACAGCAATCTCCTACGTTTTGACTTACACGGGGTTACCCAAAAGCTAAGTTTAATCCTACTAGGTTAGAATGCAAAGACCAAAAGTTAAAAACTATGATCTCAAATCAAAGATGGTTCATCAGCTGAAGCACCAGAGAGTGGAAACTAGTAAGACATGCTAATTGTTTAAAGAGAGATCATGGGAAGTAAGGATCCTCTCCGTTCTCATATATATTAAACAGTTGCTTAGAATAACGGTCCGCCAATGAGCGACATTCTTCAACTCCGCTTGGATGATACTTTTGCAATTCCTCCACAGATTTTACCAGGTCGCCATTTGGTACTCCGTCAGTCAGAAATTCCCCCAAGTATGTTCCCCTAGCCATGTAAAAAGCAGTAAAACTTAAAATCAATTCAAAGAGCCAGTTTCTCAAGGAAACAAAAGTTAATTAGACATCCACAAGCTTTGAGTACAAGCTAATATTAATAAACAGTCAGTGTGATTCTCAAGCCAATTATTATTTGTAAACAAAAGACAGCAGTAACTTTACCTCGTTGCATCGAATTTGCTAAAGCCTCTTCCATTACTGACGATGCTTGCCTTACAAGCCTTCTCTTCATTGGTTTGCTGTCGATAAATAGCACATACAGCTTTCATGCACAACTCGGGATTCTTACCAAAGTCAGAGAGCATATCAGCTTCTGAAATCCATTTTGAGTTGGGTTTTCTTCGGCCCCTAAGTTTAGAGATTATCTCATCATAATTAAGATTACTATCTGATGAATCTCCATCATCATCAGAATCATCTCCACCCTCTTCCGATACATCATCTTCAACATCATCAAAATTAGCTCCAGTATCTTCTTTCGATATATCATCTTCTACATCCTCATCATCAGAGTCATCGACTATGAAACTACTTAAGTGATCACTACCTTCTGACTCATCTTCTGATGACTCATGATCTGCAACATTTTCAGATATTAAGGTATCAGGGTGATTTTCAGTATTCTGAGTTTTATCTCTCAGTTCACCTTGTCCATACTTGACCAGACGTCTCTTTGGACGAGTTGGATCCAAGGGGAGAGCACTCAGAGCAGGTTGACTGCCTTGAGCACGATTTCTCTTGAGTTGACTAATTGGAATATTATCATCATCGTCATTATCACTTTCACTTTGCTTTGTTAATTTAATGCCGTCATCCTTATCTTCACCCTCGCTGTCGCTGTTCTCTATTTTAAGTGATCGTTTGTTGGGTGTACATTTGTAATTGTCACACTCATCATCACTTGTAACCACCATAAGATCTCGCTTTCTCTTAGTGTTTGGGGTCATAATACCATCTGTTTCCTGAACACCATTTTTCGACATCAAACCCAGAAGTCCCTCACTTTGTGAATTAGGCTTGAGTCTAGCAAGGACATCATCATCATTGTCACAGTCAATTATATCAATAACAGTAGCTGGAGTTGAAGGAGCAATCTTCTCAACACAACTTTTCTCATTATAAAATGCAAGTCGCCTTTTCACATGCATTTGCTTAGTTGAAGTACTATTAGTACGTACATACTTCTTGTCCAGTGATCCTATACAAGATGACAAGTATACATTCAGTAAAACAACAAAATAATCAGAGTTAGACAGATATTTTAAGCCTTCTCTCATATCACATATGTGAAAAAACATATTTTAAGCCGTTCATTTGGAGAAGAAAAGGCTAATGGAACATTTCAAACTAAAGGCTAGCAAAATGAATCTCGAAGGATCGTATGTGAATGATTGTGCAATAGCCACTACCCAGAGACAAGTTTCCGGTTCAGCGACAGAATGCAGCAGTACAAGTAAGGATATTTGCTAACTTACGCAGAATGAGAAATTTATCAAACTTGCAACTTGCAAGAGAAATGCTTTTTCACATGTCAAATGTCAACCAAAGTCAGAAATATAATACTACTTCTTGTCCTTCAATATAGACCAAATATAGCCCACATCCAAATTGCCTTAAGAAAAGACTTACTCATGGGATTGGAAAATATAAGAACTTATATATACAAGAATACCTGTTGTATTTGTATTTCAGCCCAAAATCTCATAAATGACCATCAACCATATGTGGCCTACTATTAAGGGAATGAGGAAGTACTTCAAAAGTTCAAAGTTCAAACGCTCAGCATAAGATACACCAAAATGTCACTTAAAAATTTACTCCCTTCGTTTTTCTTTAAGAGTTACACTTACTTTGATTGGCCATTATTTATCTCCCCACTCATACACTCTTACTTTTTTAAAGCCCCAACAACCCATTTACACCTTATTATATTAAAGTGAATTAGAATTTAGCACCAAAAATAAAAGCCACAGGATAGCAAAGACTGGCTTATGGTAGGATATTTCACAAATATAGCATAATCACATATGCATGGTACATAGAGAACATACGAGTAAATCATAAGTCCAGTATTAAAGGAGATGACGGGTCGGGAACCAGCAAAAAATCCAGTCCACAATAGCAGGCTTTGAAACAAAATGGTCTTACAAATCAAACCAGAATAACATCCTAAACCACACTAGCTCTACGATGAACAAACAGAAAAATGCAGAACCAAAATCTAATCGAGGAAAATTAATTACCTTCAATTGGTGTTACTTCCTCTATTGCACCTAGTAAACGAGATGGAGAACCGAGATCTCTTGAAGGACTTGAAGCACATACATCATCATCAACCACAGGATTAGCTCCATTAATTCCAATAGAGATATCAGCTTTACCATGAGACTTCAATCTTCCCTCCAATTCAAGCATGCGCAACTCCAAGTCCTCACATTTCCTCTTACACACCTCGACTTCCTTAAGAGCAAAGTTCTTCTCACATGCCAACACTTTATTCTCAACCATCAATTGACTAACCCTAGACACATCCTCATCCTCCATCACCCTCTCATCCGACAAAAACTCACCACCCACATTTGCTCCAACAAGACCAGCCTTCCTCACCTTCAAACCCTTGATTTCTTCTTCAATTCTCAATTTTTCACCTTCCAAAACCCTAATTTTAACCTTAATTTCTTCCAAGTTCATAACTTTATTTCGAATTTCTAATTCGAGTGCTAATTGCTTCTCTTCTACCTCCCTAAATCTTTGTTCTTGTTCAATAGACTTAATTCTAGATTCTTCTGACTCCTTATCAACTACACCATCAAAATTTTCCACATTTTTCTCCTCAATTTTCACCCCATTACTTTTTTGATCACTTACTAGAGTGGGTACTTCATTCAAATCCATAATCATTCAAAACCCAGAAAAATCCCACTGTTACAAGTTCAAAATTCCAACCTATTCAACTTTAAAAAGTACAAAAATTGAACATGCATAGAATTTCAACACTCACAAATCACAATTCAGCACCTGGGAAATTAAATTGTTGACAAAATTAGAAAGAATACATTATAATTGATATTTATACACTAAAAATTTCATCAAACGTAAAAATAAATTGAAAATATATTATAGTACAATATATTCGAAAACTAAAAACAGAGTAATTGTAAAAGGAGAGAAAAACTCACAAAAAGTTGTACTGTAGTTTCCTCAGCACGATTGACTCTGACGCTTGACGAAGGAGAGAGAAACTGATAAATCGATGTTGAAAATATTCCATTTTGTTTTTGGATTTTGTTCGGTTTCACGGTTTCACCGTTTTAACACTTCGTCTGCACGACTTTTTTTTTAGTGAGGACCGCAACGTTTCACAGGTCCTTTCGAGTCCCGACCCGAATAAAACAAATTGTCCTCTACAATCTACACGTATTGTTGTATCACGTACGTGGTATCATTTTCATTTTACTCGTACTTTGAATTTTATACAATCCTTATTTTAGGGATACTTTGTACAATTATTATAATACGTTAGGGAGAACCAAGAGATAAAAATACAACAAAAAAAAGAAAGACAATTATAAGTACAAGATAAAAGAAAGAAATTAAATAAAATTCACAATAGTAGGACAAGGCTTTTCAAGGAAGCCATAAAAACAACGTTTTTTTTAAGGGAGTTTGAAAATTACAAGAATTGGCAACGGAATGACCTGTAACGAACAAAATGATGGAAATGTCAAAACGTCGAGGAATCAATGGAACCCTTGGAACAAGATTGTGCTAATGATAAGGCATAGACAATGAAGACAACCTATGAAACGACAACAATGACAAGGAGAAAAGTCATGATAACTCTTAACTACATTGTGTTATTATTGAATGATCTCATATTACAACCACACATAGTCACATTTGCTAGTGTCAATCTAACCATAATAGCTAATCATATTATCTACCTTACAATTAGCCCATTAGAGAAAGAGACATTTGTATACATTCACGCACTGTTGTGATTATTAGGATACCAGTCATAGGTTGTGATATTATGTGCACCTAAATAATAGTTTATGTCGTTGAGGCTTTGTCTAAATTTAATCCAATTTTGAGCATCCCTATATACATTCACCATTCACATCCAAGATGTTCTTTCACTCTTCTTTCTCTCTCTCTTTCTCTTTCATTTTTTTTTTTTTGTTCTCACCTGTGAACCTTTGTAAGGGCTTCTACCGGTGTTTTTATCGGTGATAAGCCCCTAAAACTTTTTAATGCTTTCAATAAATGGATCCCATCTTTAAGATAATGGTTATTCGATTAGGCCTTAATTCCTTTTTTTTTTTCTTCTGCCGAGGATTGATAGGGTTTGATAATTTTTGAAAACCATATGAGTATTTTTCACGCAAACAACTACTCATCGGTGAATTTTAAGCTAAATTAGTGCTAACTCACAAATTGTATTGCTTAATTTTAAAAAAAAAAATTAATGTGATCGTTGATCGAACCTGCATACACAAGTAACAAGTTTTAAGCGTCGTTTGACTATATTTTACGTATTACATTATTAAGAATTCGGCAGGACGTATACTTCCCTTGTTGACTCGAGTCTTAAACTCTTGGCGTGTAGTCTCTCCCCCAAAAACACAAACTCTGACTGCCACCAACACCATGAAGGCGGCGCCGGTGAACGGAATTGTTTCCACCAGGTTTAATCTTTCAGATTTAATCTCCAATATACTGCGTTTTCCCATTTTAATTTCTGATTTTTAAGATTCAACTAATCTCAATCATCATCCATTTCCTCTCAATTGATTTTTATTTTTCTGATTTTTCTTCTTTAATTTATTTTTTTGTATAGTTATAGACCTTATAGTTAAGTATATTACGCAAGTAAATGTGAAATTGAAATTGATGTGAATTGGAATAGAAATTCAATATAGGTTTGGACCGTTTGGTAGAATTCAAACTTATGTCAAATTGTGAATGATAATTTTGAGAATTAATCTGAACAACTTGTTGATTAATTGGTAATGGAATGGTTCTTATGTTGGATTAACTATGTTAAGGAACTAATTATTGATTTTCTGCCCAATTTTATTGTAATTTGGTAGTGATAACCATGTTAATGTTGGGTGATTATTATGGAAGCTGTTTTGGATTTGTTATTTGCAATTGTGGAATTGTTTTATTGGAGTTATGATTGATGGTGTTGTGGTTTAATGAAGGTAACTTAGATAGGGCCAAATGTATGATGCTTGTGAGTTATGGAGTAAGAAGTTAAAGTCGATGGCAAAGCAACCAAACCTTATATGATTAATGTGTCTTGTAATTGAAATGACCGAGTGCTGAAATTTGGATACAAGTTAATGTTATCATCCCCAGGCTGCAGAATCGTCGATTACCTGTTCACGGGACTAGTTTGTTTTATATGGAGCAGTGGAGCTTCTTCTTTATAAGTTTTTTGTGCCAATATTGGATTTTCTTTGTGAATATAGGATACCGTAGACTGTGAAATTATTACTCTGTATAAGGCAACTGAATTTAGAATATTGCACAATTTGAACTCCTACTAACCCCTTGAAAATTGAATTTTGATTGGCAGGTTGTGAATACACTTGGCTATGAATCTTTACTAGATTCGATGGGAAAAATTGGACGTGTGGGATACGGAGTACTAAACTACTAATAGCATAATCACCCACCCGAAGAAGTTTTTTTTTGTAAGCCAGGACGGACAAGGGCAACATAAGTGCTCCATATGCAACTTGAATCTGTCTTTGGATTCTCCTTTTGTGTTAGCAGAATGAGAGTATTTACTTCTATCTACAGATGTGCCAAACTGTCTAAGCACACAAGCTTGGATAATAGTTTTATGATCCCAAGTGTTAAACTAGGCTGTATTAGAACTTTGAGTTTAGCCTCTACATCCCCAGAGATACGAGAGGTGGAAGAGTACTTGGATAGACTAAAGAATTTCGAGAAAGCAGGAGTACCAGATAATGCTGGCACTGAAACTGAGGATGGGTTTGATTTGGGTCGTATGAAGCGCTTGATGGACCGTCTTGGAAATCCAAAATCTAAGTTCAAGGTCAATTTTCCTTTTCTTATCTCTTTAGCTTTTATTGATTATGATCTTAATCTAGATTTTTGTCATTCTGTTTTTTGGAAGAAGAGTTCTTGTTGGCTATTTGATGTTATAATTTTGTGATCCCATCCATTACCATATTGGTTAAAAAAACTTGTTCCTTGATATTGTAATCATGCTGTTGTAATCATGGTGTTTATGGATATCTTGACAGAGGAATTTGGAAATGAAACTGATGACAAGTTTTATTTCATCGAATAGTCCTATCAAAACGGTTACTTTGTCATCATTTATATGACGACTAAAGCCCCCTTTCCAACTATCAGCCATTTGTTATCTTTATTATTTGCCCAAGTGCTCATGAATCTTGTTTTGTCATTAAATTATAAATGTAATTTGCCTGCCTATCAATTGATGCAGACAGTTCATGTTGCTGGGACCAAAGGCAAGGGATCAACGGCTGCATTTTTGTCTAATATTTTGAGGGCAGAGGGTTATCGTGTGGGTTGCTATACAAGGCATGTATTATCTTTCCTTTTGCATTTTCTGTTTTTTTTTTTTTTAAAAACAATAGTAGTTAGAACTTTGGTCAGATTTGGTCCAGAAACTATTTGTTGCACCTAATCTTTATTGTAATTCCTATGTACAAGACTACAATCAATTTTAAAGTTTTGCACAAGACTTCATAAAAAAAGCCTTTTAATGTAAATTTTGGCATGCATTCATTTTCAAGTTTAGATTAGCTTTATGTTCAAAAGCTTTACTTATTTACTAAACTTACCATGTATCTCTCTATTTGCACAGCCCTCATGTACAAACTATTAGGGAGCGTATGTCAGTAGGAACACAGAATGAGCCAGTTGCAGCAGATTTGTTGAATTCTCTATTTCTTAGGATCAGGAATTCTCTTGATCAGGCAGTAGCACATGAGTCTGGATGCCTAAGTCATTTTGAGGTATTTACTTGTGTAGTACAAGGTATCAGTTGCTAGAAAAGATATATTTTGTGTAGAACAAAATTATTTATATTCTGTTATGGAGTGAAAGATTGATAAGTTATAGCGTACTTTGTAAGACATGACAATTGTTTTTAATATGAGCTGTTTTCCCACATCCTACATTGTGTTACTATTAGAATTGCATCTGCATGTAATGTGCTCACAGTCTTTCTCTATCACAAATAAGATGTTAACTTATCTTCAGGGCTCCACACCTTCAACCTTGAGGTAGGGGTTTCAGATACAATGTGGTTGTTAGTTTGGGTAGTTAGTGTTGGCTCTTCTCCGTAAGGTTTTCTACCTCCCCCCCCCCCCTTCTCTCCCTCCACCCTGAATTTGCTTCTTGCTTTTGTCTAATTAGACTGGGTTGGGATCCTTATTACCTACCTTATCGCTGTTTGTCCCTTGACTCATTAAAATATGTTTGTTGCTGTGGTATGGAGGTTGAATCTAGTACAAGTTGACCATTTAGGGGATTGACTACCTTAAGACATACTCTCTCGATGACTTTTTGTGGTTAAGAAAATAGATTGTCTTATTCATTCTGCATTTATGTTTCTCATGCTATAGAATATTCTCCCCCCCCCCCCCCGTGTTGCTAGGCCTCTTCCTAGGTTTTGTCCTTGTTAGAATTGTCTCATATTTATAGTTTTGACAAATTACATGTTAGTTCCTGTATCTATTAAAAGGTTTTGAATATATGTCTTGATGTCCTTCACTCCTTCATAGTGTATCAAGGAAAACCGGGAAAATAGAGTAACAAAGCTCTTAGTTTCATTCAACATTTGGAAGTCTTCTCTTATCTGCACTCCTATAATTATTGTTATAATTTTTTTATTTCAACTGATGACTGGAATTTTTTTTAGGTCCTAACAGCTATAGCATTTGCTCTCTTTGCTGATCAGAATGTTGATATTGCAGTTGTTGAGGTACTTGCTTGGCTCTACAGTCTTTATATGTAATTGCTACTTAATTTGAATATGTCTACATGTGCAAATGTTCTTGTTGTTTATGTTTGCTTATGTTAGGCTGGGTTAGGAGGAGCACGGGATGCTACAAACATAATCACAAGTTCTGAGCTTGCTGCTGCAGTTATAACAACTATAGGAAAAGAACATCTGGCTGCTCTTGGGGGTTCCTTGGAAAGCATAGCAATGGCAAAGTCAGGGATTATCAAACACGGTCGTCCAGTTTGGTGCCTTTTCTTTCTTTGTAATTATCTATATCAGATGATTGAATATAATCATATGACATGCTACAGGTTATAT